GAAAAAAAAAAGTCTTTCTTCTAAAAGATGAATGAATTTTGTAAATATTATAACTGAAAATGAGTTTAAAGTACAATTTGAACATATTAAAAGTAAAGATAATTATCTTGCTAATTGAGTACGCAAATATATTCATTCTTCTCTTGTGCATGATCAAAATGAGATGTTTGACTCCAAGCAAGACCAACAATAGAGGCAATACCTTTAGAGTTAGGTCTTATACAGAAGGGACCAATTTGGATCTAGTTGCTAATCAACTTCTGAACAACATTCAGGAGAGCTTTGGCAATTTGAACCTTTCTGAGAATAATTTAAGAACCATAGCCCAATATTTGAGAAAATATAATAAATTTAATTATTATGTTCTAATCAAAGGAAAAACCCCTGGAGATTATAAGAAGTGGGATGAACTCTTGTTCCAAATACAGGATTTTAGAAAACCACTCTATAAAGGGTTTTATCTAATTGAGGAAGCTATCCAATTTGCTCAATAGTGTCTCAAAGATAGCTTTTTCATTAGCCCTTATCTTTCTCCAAAATTGTAGGAACCTTCAAGTGAGATAGTGAAAACCACCTTAGCCTCATTGGTGGGTGGAAGACAATTAGTTCCCCCACTGGGAATTCATCAATATTTAATTGAAGGATCCTCCTCAACTTCTGCATCAATTCCATTAGTGGATGACACTCAGAGGCAATTTAGGATGTATTTCAATCCACATGTTCCCTTACTCGAGCTACTAGATGATTCAAGACAACTAATTTTTCAAAAAGTAGAAGCTTCAAGCCATGCTAAATTGAAAGGCAATTCAACAATTCCTTCAACAGATAGCTGAAGATGGTATCAACTGACCTGGTATAGGCTTCATGTGGGACACCTATTATTCTACTATAGAAGGAAGACTCAAGAGGTGGAATATGTGCGAAGGAGAAATTGCAAATGGAATTCCACTTGAAAGATATGACTGTCAATGTCAACTCATCTATATCATTTGCAGGGTTTCTCTAGATCCATACTCATATGAACCAATTAAGTTTTTATATGAAGGGGAAATCATCGAGTTAACTCCACAATTACTCCTTAATTATGGTTTTCTCTATCAATTAATTTTTACAAAGATTGAGGATACTAATCTTGTGGGGAAAAAAATTGCCATGGCTGTCTTAGAAAGCATGCCTTCCAACTACATTGAGGCAGTGATTCAGAGTAAGGCTCCTAAATGGAAGGGTAGACATCTGCTTCCAACACAACACAAGATTATTTTAAGGAGGAGAAGCAGTTTACCACCTCTCTACAGAGATATTCAGGCCTGGCCATCCACTACTTTGTCCCTCACAAAACAACTTAAACACTAGAAAGCTAGAACAATGGCACACATGCAGGTCATGGGAGATGATTTTATAGCTGGATACACCCTCTTTACTGAGGATAATATTCAGAAAACTTATCTTGACCCTAATGTGTTTATTCATAGTCAAAGTCAAAAAGAGATTCCCTTCTCGCCTCAAACAAACTACACTCAACTACTGCATATTTACTTTGAGGAGTATTAAAATGGGGAAGATCAATCTGAATATCAAGGCGTTGGAATTGATTTGGGTGGTGACCTTCCCAATGACAACCCAGATGACCTAGAGATTCATAGGCTTTTATGATGATCTTGACTCAGTTGGATGAAAAAATCTCGAAAATCAAATGGAGGGATAATAAATGAATCAGACAAAGGAACAGCCATGCCTCACTCCAAAGTGACTATCATGAGACATGTTTCTCAAAAATTGTTCACTTTTTATCTTTCCAAAAAGATAAAAATGACATACCATGGTTATCTCTGTAAATAAACCTAGGGTTAGTTAATCATAGTTACTTTTTTATAACTAAAGTTACTTTTACTGCAGTTATTTTTGTAATCCAAGTTAGTTTTTCTTCTATAAATAGAGACTCGTAGAAGTAGAAATCATATAGGGAATTAGGAGTAGAAAGTAATAGCAAACATAAAGAGTAGGTGAAGAAAGAAGCAAGAGGTTAAGAGACAGTTTGAAAGTTGTACTCATCTCAAATCCTTTGTAACCTGTGCTCTTTTAAGTATTTATAAAATATATTCCCAGATGTTTTCTTTAATGTGTTATTTAGCTTAAAGAAATATTTTGGCAAAGAGAATAGTTTGTAGCTTTTATTTGTCTCATTATTCTGTATTCATATACTTATATATAGATAAAGAGATTCTTGTTCAAGCTGTTTTCAACTTCTTTCTCAAAGATCTTTAAAAAGGAAAGATAATTGTTTTTCATAACCTACACCACTGTGGAGAGTAAGAAAATTAAACCTGAATAGCTTGATAGAGAAGAAATTCTTTACTACCTAGCACTAATGGAGAGTATCCATTTGAAGCCAAGAATTGCATTTTAGGAGAAATCACCAGGGATTTGGAAATCAAGTTTTCTTGATTGGGTAGGTCACTAGTTTTCTTGGGAAAGAGGGGGGTCACTGGGTTTTGAGAAACTTGGAAAGAAAATGAATTGAAGGGTAATTGAACAAGGTTCAAAAATAAAATGATATCAAATATATCAATAAAGTGCGCGTCAATCCTACCCCCAAGAAGAAAATTAGAGTCCCAACCAAAACGGCATCGCTTATCTAAAAAACCCAGCCCTACTGTTGCCTCTTCTGCAATCATCTCCATCTCTTGATCAGGCACTTCATTAAAAGATTTTCAAAAATTCTAAGAATCAAGTGCAGAAATCAAGTGTAGAAAACAAATCACTTACCATCCTTTGATTATCGTCAATGGAGATGATGAATTGCAATGGTAGAGTGAGGCGAAAATAGTGGGTGCTGGGGATTAAGTCGATGGTGTGGGATTGTGTTTGAAAATTTGAAGGAATCAGAGGAGTGAAGGAGGTGAAGAGGCGATGGCGATGGAGATGGAGATGATTGCAGAAAGGGTGACAGCAAAGGCTGGGTTCTTGAGAGGAACGACAAACAGCAAGGGTTTGGTTTTTTAGAGAAACGACGTTGTTTTGGTTGGGACTCCAATTTTCTTTTTGAAGGTAGGACTAACACACTTTACGGTAGATATATATATAACTTCAAAAGTTTTATTAATAGTAAAAAAAATACATAAAAATCTTAATGAATTCAATCATATACAAAGTGAAATTAAACCTATAACATTAATAATAGATAATTTTACATATAATATATATAAATAATTAGGTAAAAGGAGATATCAATTACGATTACATAAGTATTGCTGAAGCCAGCAAACAAACCTAATAGCATTATTCCCTTGTACGTCCAAAGCATTTGAAAAGTTTCCTTTGATATTCAGGCTTTTAAAGTAAAAAAATTAGACAAGAGCTCACCCCAAATATGTTTTTAACGGTCAAGGTAAGTGCTGTAACTCATTCGAACTCAGCTAGCTAGCCTTATATATTTACGCTGTTTTTCTGCTCCACCATAGACAAAACCTAATAAAAATACATGAAAAAAAAAAAAAGAAAAAAAGCTGAGACTCAAATTAAAGTGAAAGAGGAAATCAAGGGAAGAAAATTTACCCTTATTTTCGCTCTCATTTAAACAAGAGGGATAGATGTGGGAGAGAAAAGGCAGAGAGAGACCCAAATAGGTAGAGGTGGGAAGCGAAGAGGGAGAGGTGTGCAGGTAATCAATGGCAGAATTTTACATCCATTTTTATGTTTTTTTTTTTAAATATATTATTATGATTAATATTAGAGAAATAAGAATAAAATAAATTTTAATACTATAAAACAAGTTTGTATTATTTATTGTTAATGTTAAAACTTATTTTAACCAAATTTTAGTTTTTTAATTTTAATTTTAATTTTTAGTAATTACAAAATTTATGAGAAGTAAAATTAAAATAAAAAACCACAATAATATTAAACGGTCTAAGTTTATGACTTATTTCATGATGGGTGTCTTTTGGAATTTAGGTTTGAGAGCTCTTATACAATAATATAATTTCAAAAAAGTAAAGTACAGTATATATAAAAATTACTAATACTGGGGATAGCCTCTTCGATATTGGGTATATGCTCCTTCATCAATAATTAATTATTTTGCATCACATTAGACTGATTGTTCCGTAGCATTCTAATATAATTTTTTGTTGTTTAAGAAAAAAAACAAAAAAAACTCAGCAACATTATTAGGATATTTATTAAACTAAATTTCTTTGAAAAAGTTGCTAGAATATATTAATCTAATAATATTATATTTAATCAAACAAAAATGTTTCTTGTAGGTCAAATACTATTGAATTGCACAATTTAAATTGGTAAATAAGATAACTTCTTAATATTAAGATTAGTTTCCTATTTAATAATTTTTTAAATTAAGTACAATTTTGTATGGTGAAATAGGGAACTCTCTAATCAAATGTATGACCATAATGGTCAACCCTATCCATTAATTGATTCATAAAGAAAAATTCTAAAAGCTAAATTTATAAGTAAAAGAGTATTATTTTATATGTTAGGTCTAAATTTAATTTTGAAAATTAATATTAAGAAAATTATTTTCATTAAATATATTAAGTCAATATAATGAGTTTCCCTAAATTATTTCTAGAGAAATTAATTTTCAAATGTACAAAAGCTAATCCCAAAACTCTCTGTTCATCCAAATAAAAAATAAATCCATAAAAAAAAGGGCATGATTTAGTATTAGATAAGTGCAATGTGTACTCAACTTGGCCTTAAGTGTAGTGTCCTTCTCTCATTAGTTTCTTTTACTTTTTATTTTTATTTTTAATTAAAAAAAAAAAGAAAAAAAAAAGAAGACAAACAAACAAACAAATTGTACTCAAACCAATCACGGTAGAAACAGCACTTTGCGGCTAGCATTTCTCTTAATATTAAATACGAATAATCGATTTTTGTACACAATAATTTCCTTCACTAGCTTTCATGTTTTTTTTTTTTTACCAATGCGGCGTCACGTTGTAAATGTCTCAAGATGACCTCACAACGTGACAAGGACTTGAATCCTTCATATATATATATATCATCATCATCATTGTAGTGCCAATAAGTAAAAGGCATTACCGAAGGGAAGAGTGGGAGATGGGTATATCACACTTCGAAGATAAAAGAAAATGCATGTCACCGGTCGGATTACCTCCTGGCTTCAGGTTCCATCCGATCGACGAAGAGCTCGTCAATTATTACCTCAAGAGGAAGATCAATGGCCAAGAAATCGAACTCGACATTATTCCCGAAGTCGATCTCTACAAATATGAACCTTGCTATCAGGTCTGTCTTCGGAATTTTCTTAAGTAATTAGTCATTACAGGAACTCAACATTTAATCAACTCTATTTGTATGTTAAGCAGAAAAATCTATTTTGCGAAGTAGAGAACCGGTGTGGTATTTTTATGGGCCATGGAACCGGAAGTATCCGAACGGATTCAAGACGAACAGGGCGACAAGAGCAGGGTATTGGAAGTCGACGGGGAAGGACAAGAGAGTTACGATCCAGCATCGAGCCATAGGAATGAGGAAAACGTTGGTTTACTGCAGAGGGCAGGCGCCACAGGGGATTCGGACTGATTGGGTAATGCACGAATATCGCCTCTACCGCAAGGAGTGTGAGGACACATCAGGAATTCAGGTAGTTTGCGCACTACCATGAAATCATTAATTCTTCTTTCCTTTACTAATAAAATTGATAGCTGATGTTAAGCCTATATATAGTAACTCGAATCCAAATTCATTCCAACCCATTTCGACGCTAAAATTAAAGAATTGGAACTAGTGAGTGTTTTTCCTTCTTTTTTTTTTTTAAGTGGTCAGGGTCCCAGTTAATTTACCTGCAAAATACTGAAGTATTAATATATTAATTAAGGTCTCCATTGATTAGGATCCCTATGTTACTTTTCACCGCATTAGTACTGCTGTCAGCATTCTTAATGTACGATGGAGTGTGAAGAAGATCTATCTGTTTAGTGGTTGAATAATTTAATATAAATTTTTTTCATCATGATAATAGTTTGATATCCTTTCTCATTTCTCTCACTTTTCGAATCACTTGCTCTAATAAAAAAAAAGAAAGTATGATGGGGGGTTATTTATTTATTTTTTTGGTAAATAGGTGTTTTTTATTTACTTTGGTAACTTTTTACACGATCTTGGAATTGATGACGTCTTTTCTGATTTTTCCACAACAATTAAAACATTTTCTATACTAGTAGTTTGTGGTGGGATAATAATATGCATTAAACATTTTAATTTATGTTAAAATTCGAGTTTTTATCAAAACAATTGTAATATTTTTCTCTCATCTCTTTAAAATTTCCTTGGTTCCAAAAGAAAAAAAAAAGAACATTTTCCAAATATTCCGCAGTTTTGACTTTAATTTCAAAGCATGTCACATAACATATGGTATATTAGAATCCCCTAAACAAGTTAATAATTTGCAGGACTCTCATGCATTGTGTCGGGTGTTCAAGAAAAAAGAAAGAATTAATGAGCTCGAAGGTTGAAGAGCGAAGTGTAATCAATGAAACGGAGACCGTGTCGCCTCACGTTCCCTTGGCATCCTCGCCATGCATGGACCAGGAAGATAAAGATAATTCATGGATGCAGTTTATCATCAATGATCCATACTAAAATTATCGCGTGGTGTTCCTCTCTACCTCTAATGCTGCTTGGTGATATTTAATATTGTATATTTGAGTCGAGGAAATAAAGTAAAGGAGAGAGAAAGGAAAAGGTAAAAGGAAAGGGAAATTGAAATTTTTTAATCAATTAAATTATATGATTTTAAAATTAATATAATTTGATTAGTTAAAAATTTTAAAACGTTATAATTTGATTAATTAAAAAAATATTTTCTTTATTCTCCTTTATTTTTCTTAATCAAACATACTATAAAGATTAGCATAAATAAATTTTTTATTATGAAAAATATAAATATATATGAAAAAATATTACACTGTCTTATTTTATATATAAAAATTTATATTTTATAATTTAATATAATTTAAATTGTAAAATAAACATCTCAATATATATTGAATTGAATTATTAGGCTCCAAGAAGCCTAAGAGATGATTGGGTCAAGCCCAATGAGCAATAGGATTTCTAAATTGGAGATATCTCCCATGTCTCGGGATAAACAAGCAACCGAAGATTACTCGTAGAAAACTAGGTGAGTTCGACAATCAGCTTCATCACACCATATCCACAGGGACTGTAGAGTTGTAGACTCTCTCTAAAGCTTTCTTTGCCTGAAGAAAATTGCACAAACCCAATCTTGTGTTAAGATAACATGAAATAAACAGAGAGCGCGTGGTAGAAGAGTAAGCTACTGTTGATTAATTTTTACCTCTTGCTCCCAGTTAGCGCGTATGAGAATAATTAGAAGAGAAGATACTTGAACAATAAGGGCAGAGATGATCCCCAGCCAGAGCCCCTGAAGGTAAATTAGAGTAACAAAATCAGTTTGATTGCCATGAGATAAAAATAAATAGAAATCATATCAAATTCTTCAAAAGTAAGCAAAAGAGAGAGTAATGTTGATTGACTTTTACCCTTCCCCCAATGTGGAGTATGAAAGCTAGGAGAATAGCTGATGGGATTCCCACAAAGTAAAATGATCCTAGATTGATATATGCAGCAATCTTCTGCAATCCACTTCCTCTAACAATCCCTGAATTGCCACATACAAATACTAAGTAACAAGTTACTGGATTTGAATCTTATTATTGGAGTTCATAGATACATTTGAAAGCATTTCTTTGATTTGTACATTAAAATGCATGTTCATATGTAGAACACTTCATTTCAAAAATTTTTAACTCTAAGGGGCAAAGAAAATTTCAGGAGGTAAGGAGTTGAAACCTGAAAGAACACATTGAAGTCCATCCAAGAAGTTACACGCTGCTAGAATTGGCATCACGGCTGCTAAGTATCTAACCACTTCCATTTCGTTGCTATAAGCATAGCCCCATATTTTTCGTATCAATATCAAGACTGATCCCACCAAAAGGCCCTGAGTAATGGTGATGACCAGGACTACACATGCTGCTAAACGCGCAGTGTCTGGATGCCCTGCCCCTAATTCATTTGACACTCGAACGCTGCAAACAATGAATTTATAATATTATTGCAGTGTTTTATCTGCCATTAAATAAATAATGGTAATGGCTTACCTTGCTGCTCCACTTAATCCCAATGGGATCATCCAAACTATGCCAGCTGTACTGAGGCTGGAAATTCAAATGTTGGATTAGGAACGAGATGCATTCAACAAATCCTACTTGAATAAAGTCATTGGAAGTTTGAAACAGACCTGATAGAGAGCACAGAAGTTTCCAACTCCGGATTAGGCAGAAGACCAGCCGCTAGAATCACCATTTCAAATGACCATGACACCAAGCTGTTCAAATTCATGGAAAAATATAAGTTTTCATATGTTGAAATTTTCTGATCATGTGTGTTTTATTTGATCGGTTGAAGAAGAATCAAGAGAGTAAGAGGTTACCAAAGCATAACAGCTGATGGAATAGCGAGCCGAATAAAAGTGAGAACGTTGTGCAATGCCTCATTTGAAAACCCTGTCCAGGTTTTGGCACAGGAAGGAGAGAACCGGACATAACAAGCCAACAACAACACATTCGACCAATGGGATATCGCATTCGCAAAGGCAGCACCTCTACTTCCAAGGCCAGATTTGAACACCAGAGCCCAACAAACAGGAATGTGAAACAGAATTGTGATGCCAGAACATAACATCATTGGGAAAACAATGTATTGTGCTTGTAAGAATCTGACTAGACACTGAAGAAAACTATATGCAAAAAGGCTGGGGACCATGGCACTAGCATACTGTCCTGCTTCCTTGGCAATGTCATAGTCTTGGCCTAGAAATACTAGAATGGATCTTGTGTTTGCCAAAATGATCGCTAGGGGTATGCTAACAATAACAAGAACAAAGATGGCTCTCTGCATGTGTATGCCCAACATTTGATAATGCTTTGCTCCATATGACTGTCCACAGAGGGTATCCAGTGCACTTGCCATTCCAGTCTGTTACAAAGAAAAAACTCAAATAATCAGAAATTCATATCAAACAAGTTTCAACTTTTTGGAATTTCTCAGATGTTAAGATGAAAACTGATATCATAATTATGAATTTTGACTTTAGTTGGTCCGTATGGCCCAAAGAATCTAGAAGAATCAAAGAAAACATTTCTGTGGGTTGGAGCTTGGTAGCTACAAAAATGCCATGAAAAAATCATTTTTATTCAAATCAGGTGACCTTTTAACAGCAAAATGCTCATATAATGCTCAGACAAATGAAGAAAAACTTACAGTAAAAATCGGGTAGTGACGGGCGATACTATGATTAATGCAATGAAGAGGTGCTCAGCAGCTCAAGTGAAAAAAATGATAAAAGGATGGAGTAAAAGTAAGTACAACAGATACCAACTAGTCATGTGGCTAGAATGAGCAACACACAGCTAGGAAAAAGCCTTTTCTGTATATCATGAGATTTGAATACTGAAAGATGTTATTATGGGCAAAAAAGCAAACACATTTGGATACAAAGCTTGAGAAACTGTAAGCCTTAGACTGGGCGAATTGAGTCGGGCATGATCAACCAAATCAAAACCGCAGATAAAGATACAAACTGATAACAGAACATAACTGATACACAGAATTTTAAAAAGAAGAAAATAAGATAATCCCAACTTACCAGTAAGCTTAAACCAGTGAATGATGCAAAGGAAGTACCTATTGAAGCACCCGAGAGAGGTAGTTCCCCAAGGTGCCCCACAAACATCACAGATACGATCTGTATAAAATTCTGTAATAGACTCACAGATATCAGAGGCCCTGCTAGCCATAGCTGCTTCTTTACCTCTTCAAAAATTTTCTTATTTGATGATATACTTGTACCCCTTTCATTGATTCTCCCTCCCTCATTAACATTAAGTGCAGCATCACTATTCTCTCTCGATACTTGGATCAGAGGTGAATGTAAAGAGAACTTTCTCTCTTCTCTGTCTCCTCTCTCCATTTTCTTCCACAAACACTGCAACATTCATAGGGACTAATATAAATTATGAAATGTTTGAGGCATTATTGAACCATTAAGGGTTCGGAAAAAATTAATTGAGGGGGTAAGGGACGATCCAAAATCAACTAGTCAACATCCTATTCCCATCTGAGAGGGATAATGACCGTAAAATGAAAATGATTTACAAGAGAGAAACAACTTTAATTTCTGATGCAGATAAGTTCTGGTCCATTATAATTTGTTTGTACCACCAATGAACATTCTTTTTATTATTTAAATACAATATCTGAAATATTCCTTTTTTTCATTAATAAAAAAAAATACCTATGAAAGATTCCAATTTTTGTGGTGTACAATTAAGAAAAAAAAAAAAAGGGCGCTTCGTTTAAAGATCAACTCTTGTGTGGGTTGAACTTTAAATATTTTAATAAAAAATAAAATAATATATTTTATAAATTAAATTTTATTATCTTATTAAAGATTTGGTTAAATTAATTGTTGTAGATTAATTATCTTACTTAAAGGCATATTATTTTATAATAATTATCTAATTTATTCTTATCATTAACTTAATAATAAGAGTTACGTAACCATAAGTCCTATAAATAATTTTTTTTTTTTTGCTCAAAAATAGAAAATTCCTCCATGTTCCTTTATTTTTCTTACTTTATTTTATTTTTTAAATATTTTTGGATAAAAAAAAGGTGTTTCAAGTTAAATGATTTTATAAGTAATGCAGAATCATAAAGTGTAATTATACACCGGTAACATTTTAGAGGCAACATATTATATATATCTCTACTATATTAGTTAATCTATTTTCTATAGAGATGTGAATTGTTTTAAAATAAATACTCTTTTCATACTTATTTTAATAATATTTTACCATTGATATTTTTTCATAAATTTATTAATTATTATTTTATTTGATCTTGTAATCAAAACACAATAATAATAGAATTTAGAGATAAGGAGACTGTTCAAGGAATAA